ATTTGAATAATATAGTGTAGGACCATACCTACTATATAAGGCATATTTATACTTTTTATTTTTGAAAATACCAAACAGATCATGCATTTTAGCCATTCCTCATTTCGCTCAATTTAACACTGTCTTTGCATGGGCTGATTCTGTGAGAACAGCACCATCTACAGGCCTGGCATATGTACTACAGCGTCTCCAGCACTTTCGAACGGCAATGTCCGTGGCTGTCTCCTCCTGATTGATGGAGTTGGCCCAATAGCCGTAGCGCCACTTCTGTGACGTCATAGAAGTGTTCAAATCTGGATCAGTCTGTATCAGATCCGTTGCAGCCCCTTTTTAAGAGATTTGGGTATGGAGGAAAATAGAGAGGGTTGTGTTTTTCTGACACTTGGTGAGTTCCCTGGAACACCGGGGACACATATTCATGTATAAAAGACGTACAAAAGTGCATTTTGCATGATAGGTCACCTTTAAACAAGGCCCGGCACCCCCACTGACACTTTACCTCTGCCACATCATAGACTATATGCATTACATTAATGCACACAATGTCATACTCCTTTCTGCTCATATTCTTATTTCACATTTCATAGTTTATATGCAAAAATTCACTCATAGCATTCTATTTCCATGTAAATTACTGCTTTATTTAATTTGAATTGTATTCCTAGTATGTGAACCTACCGGGCAATAAACCTGTTTCTGGTTCTGAAGATTTATTGGAAGTTACGGCCGGAGAATTGACAAAGACATGTGCTGCAGCCACAAAGTGACAGCTCCTGGCTTACCAATTCTGAAGACATCTCCCACAGTCCCATGTATTTAGCTGGTTCTCAGAGAATAATCAACCTTCTGCATGAATACACATAACACCACCTCTATCAGCTGACACCAACAGGCAGGAATAGGGAGACAAAACTACTTTCTCAGAGAGCGCAGCACCCCATGGTCGAAGGCCTGGGCTGAGCAAGGGGATAAGGAAGGAATAAACTGGGTCAAAGGTATTGGCCTAGGAAATATTTGCCTCAACATTGACTACTTCCTTCCTGGCTGGTCTACCTGCAAGTACCATACTGCCTCTGTAGCTAATTCAGAACTCAGCAGCCCGACTATTCTTCAACCTCCCTAAGTTCTCCCACAATACACCACTCCTCTGCTCCATTCACCCGTTACCAGTAGCTTACCTTAATCAGCTTCAAGGCACTGGTACTGGCCTACCGTGCTGTTAATGGATCCAACCTTACATCCAGCACTTGGTCAAACCATACACTCCAGCACGTGCATCGGCCAATACACCCATAAGACCCAGATACACCTCAACAGAAACACACCTGTTTGCTATCCTGGCTCCAAAATGGTGGAACGAGCTCTCCATTAATATCAGGACAGAAGAAAGTCAACACACATCCCGTCACAGACTGAAAACCCACCTGTTTCAACAGCACCTTTACCACAAAAAAAAGAAAAGCTTCTTATGTCTGACTTATACCGTCACACACAAAGCTACACACACAAAGTATCGTATTATGTATGTTTTGTGTGGGTGAGGACCCCAGGAAGAATAGCCAATGCTGATGCTAGTGCACACACACATGCAGTCGGGAAGAAAAGCAATGTGGAGCGGCACCTCACCACTTCATAAGGAGTTTAACCGCGACACTTTTCGAAATCCCGTTTGCGTCCCCCCACTTTACAAATAGGCCTATGTTTATTTATTTATTTTGTAACGCAAACCGTCATCGCCACGGAGGAGCACACAGCCTCTGTGAGCGAGCGAGAGAGAGAGCGAGAGAGAGAGAGCGAGAGAGAGACAGCACACCTTTATCTATTTAATATAGCTTAGTTGTAAAAAATAAAGTAAGAAATCATTCCAATGTGTGCTACAGGACAGTAAAAAAAATAGTTTAAAAGGGGAGTGATTATTAAAATATGCATAAATAAAAAGAAAGAATGCTAACTAGGTAACATAAGATAAGAATAAACACGTTTAAATGATTTGTTATTGGTTGTGATCATATTCTAAAGATGTTTGGATTATTGAAACAGCACACAAAGGTTAAAGGTAAGCATATCATAATGTTAAAATGTGCTAAATATATACACTGCAAGAAAACCAAAAAAAGAGGAGCAAAAGTAGCTCACGACTTGTTTTATTTTTTGAAAGTAGCTCTCATCCTAAAAAAGGTTGGAGACCCCTGTTCTAGAACGATACATTTGACAATTGTAAGCTTGGCCTACCATTTTATTGGAGCGATGAGGAACAGGTGGGGCTTGAAAAAGGCCCACCTGTTCAAAGTGGAGAATGACAGACAAAGTTTGAGAACCACTGCTTTAAGGACCCTATGCTTCTGTGACAAATGGAAATCCATCCAATCATTGCAGAGATTTCTCACACAGGACCAGAAGTTACAATATAATGCTAGCGGTTCATAAAAAGTTAGGGATTCACTACACGAATGAGTATTTATCCTGAAGTTGGAAATATTTTCGTCTGGACGAAATTGGTGGACGGCCAACCAACATTGCCGTCGTGGAGTCACATACATGTTGCAACAGTTAACCCCTTGCAACTGTTACAACAGTGGAACTACACAAACCAATTCATGTTTATGTTAAAAAGCTGCTAGGGGTTTCACCGAGTATTTTATTTCCATGTATTTTCCCCTCAAGCTGAAAGTGGACCAAAGAACAGCCCGGGGCCAGACGCTTCCAATTACCATCAAACTAATTGCAGCTCAGAACTGACCCTCCTCTTGTGGGATGATAGAGGCCAGCACCAACAAAGGAAATCTGCGGAACAAGCTTTGTTTTTGATGAGTCCAACGAATGCAGAGAGCCTCAATCGAGCCAGATCTCAGCACTGTGACAGAGACAGAGTCTGAATGGAAGAACACAGGCTCGCTGATCAGAGGGCAGCCAGCCAGCAGAGCCACATAGATAAGACCCAGCGTGGCCCTGTGATCACTCAGCCACCTCCATCCTGCTCCAAACATCCAACAGGAAACTGGCTGGCCTGCGGGTTGCTTCACAGTCATAATTGGATTGTTGCAGGAGACACGTTTTGTTTCCATTGTCTGTAGACTGTATCTGAACAACACAGTTAGTGTTTCCTGAGAGAAACAAGAAATAAATGTATCCTGTGTCTTAAAACTAAATCCTCCTTTTTGAGACTGTAAATTGTAAGTATATACAAATGTAAGTATAATTGTAATCACCTGTGATGAGTGCAAAAGATATGAAACAGTGAGCGCTGTTATAGAGGTACTGTTGATTGCTGTACGTGGCTGAAGGAAAAGGTGACTACATACTGAAGCGGTTGAAAGTCATAACTAAATACAAACTGGCATATATTTGTATATACCTCTTTTTACACTATTAGGCTGCAGCTATGTGTGTTTTTCATTTCAAAGTCGGATACTTTTTATTTGAATTACTTCCCATATGTGGAGAGGAATCAAATAGGTCTGCTGAGATCTTTTTCAAAGTCTCCTCTTCATTAAAGTGTTGTGTTCACCTTTAACAGACAAAAACAGCAAGAAAATGTCAACCGTTTTCTTGATTATACATGTCCCTATTATGCAAATTTTCAGATTCATATTGTATGTAGTGTCTCTACTGGGACATGTCTCCATGCTTTAATGTTCAAAAAGCTCTTTATTTGTCTCATACTGCCTGTGCTGCAGCACCTCTTTTCACCCTCTGTATGAAAGCAGAGCCCAGTCTGCTCTGATTGGTTAGCTGGCAGGCTCTGTTGTGATTGGTCAACCGCCTAGAGATGTCCAGCCCCTTAGCCTATCACGTACAAAGTGTTGGAGCGCTAGCCAATAGAAGTGCAAGTGTTAAATAGAGGTGTCATTATGTTACAGAAGTAAACAAAGGAGTCCATTTACACGCACTCAAACCTATAGAACACACAACAGAAGAGGGAAAACCCGGAAGGAGAAGAAGTCCTCTTTAATGCAACAAACTACAGTTTTTGTATACAGGCTGACTGTACGTATGACTTTATAGGGGGTGTTATCATATATGCTTTGCGGCTCCAGACAAAATGTATTTGTGGCTCTTTCAGTAACGGTTGGTGATCCCTGTACCAGGCTGATTTATTTAAATCCATTCCATTTTAAAGCAAGGAAGTGCTGTGACATACCTTGAAGCTGTTCAATCAGAGTCCAGGCCATTCGAGACCCCTGAGCGTCAAATACAACATGACCCTGAAAGAAGAAGCTGAATTTTAATATTTCAACACCCCCCCTCCTTCATTTAAACTCCCCCCCTCTCTCCTATGTTATGAAGCCCTCTCCTCCCTCTGAGGCAGTACTCACTGACACTCCTTCGAAGGAGCTGGTGTTCATGGCTCTGTAGATCTCAGCCGTGATGTCTCGGTTGTTGTAGTTGAAGTCTTCCAGTCGGTGACCCTTGGCCTTCAGGGGTCCCACGGTCTTGTTGAGGGCCAGAGCTAATGCCCACACAGCATCGTAGGCCAGGGGGGCCTCCTGGAAGCCCCCCGTCTCCTCTGGGTTTTTACCCCCCAGTTTGGACATCAGCTGGGCTATAAACTCCTGAGAGGTCTGCAGAGGGGGGTCATGAAGAGAGAGAGTGGTTATAAATGATGTTCAGAACATCTGGATCATTGAATGTGTTTATTGCACATCCTTACATGTATCTAAAATGATAATACAATTCATTAAAAAAAAGGCAAAGGTGTTATCCCCTCTAAGTAGAAACCTTTATGAATATTTTGAGGGATATTTTTTAGTTTTTTAGTTTATTGCAACTTTGAGTGTCATTCTTGATGCTCCCTTGGATGGGACCAGGGTTGGAAAAACTCAGAACCTTTTCTCAAGTAAAAGTAAAATTACAACATTATCAAAATACGCCGTTACAAGTGAAAGTCATGATTTCCAAATGTTACTTAGGTAAAGGTACAAAGGTATTAGCATGTAAAAGTACAAATGTTTCCCAATGGCCCATTTCATAATAATAAGTATGATCACTCAAATGTACTTTAAGTAAAAGTTAGACACTCCAGAAAAACGCGGGCAAAAATCCTTTATTATGCGATTAAAAATGCGGGGTTTTTATGTGATTTTATGCGGTGAAACTGCGGGAAGTTGCGAAATATGCGGAAAGTTGCGAAATATGCGGAAAGTTGCGAAATATGCGAGGAAAAAGAATAACAATTTTTTTAAATATTGGGCTGTCTTATTTATTCTCTCTCACACACAACCTGCCACTAACGTTAAACCCCTTTACTATTCAATTAAAACACATTCAATGTTTATTTATTGTAAAAGCAATCGGGCTTTTTTAATCTCACACACACACACACACACACACACACACACACACACACTTCTCCGCCTCATTCTGTTTTCATTTACTCGTTCGTTATCTGACCAGCTTCAATCTTGTTGGCTACTCACTTCGTTTCTTGTAGCCCTCGAAAGGGTTTTGGAGGTTGATGCCTCGCTGAATGTGAGTTGTTTGGCTTTCTTGTCCGCAGCAGCAGAAAGCATTTTCGAATGTTTGAATGAATCAAAGTGTGTCGTCCCCGTCGGTTTTCTCTTATGCTCCAACACACAGTTGCACGGGGTGCAGAATAGTTTCCCCCCACTTTTTGCCCGGTCTTTAGTAGAAATGTTCGTCGGTAAATGAGATGGATTAGATTTTTTCATCTTGGTGTTTTCTCTATCGTGTGAGCTCCACACATTCACTCTATACAGTGTTGTTTACATTCTGTGATGCGCGAGCTGATGACGTCACGTCGAGAGTTAACTTTTTTTTCTTCTCAACTTTGTGTGGAAAAATGCGGGGATTATGCGGCCTTTTGATAAATATGCGGCCTTTTAAAAATCTGCGCCATTTTGCTGATTATGCGGTAAATTCTGCGATCGCAGAATCGCGTTTTTCTGGAGGGTCTAGACTGTATATAATGACTATTTTGCACATCCCTTTCAAGATTTAAGGGAAGCTGAAAAAGACAAC